TAGGTCACGTGACCTCGCTGAACGCAACAGTTGGTAAAAGAGTTGGCGGTAGGTGGTGAATGACTAACTGCCTTCCCTCTAGTTACACTGTTAAATTAGGGACGACTGGCGCAGATAGCCCTCGTGTATAATACGCTAGTTTGTATAATTAGTCTCAAAATAATTTTAACACACGTTTTATTAACAGCCATATACAGGTTTTTAGTACGAAGAGAATAATTATACAGTTGAAATGCTAGCACACTCGGAAACTCATGTGAGGCCAACAAAGAAAAACCTAAGTAAAGTTGTTATCATCTTACTGAGATGTAATGTTACATAAATTACTCGTCAACATAACAATATACTGGTCAATATCTGTTTTAATAGGGATCAGAGATGGAATGAGAAAAATAATATTTATATATTTTATTCGAGTTTTCAGTGTTCAATCGTATTACGGAAATGCGAAGTGGAAAAAAAAACAAGTTAAAAAATGACAGCGTTTAATACTTTCTATTCTAATCAACAAACTCGTTAATTTTTTTCTAAAACAATTACAATTAAGGATGTTTTGAAAAAATATGTACGAGGAAAACATAAGTATTAGTCCTACCTGTGTTAGAAGAAAAAATCCAATTATAGAACAACAATAATACAAAATGTTCAACATGAGAAAACTCATGAAGATCGAATGTTGAACTCGAGCGTGGTATTTGTAGAACAGTTTCTCCGTTTCGGACAGCCGGAACTTTTCCTGTGAATGGAAATTCTAGCATTTCAAAATCATGACATTTTAGCGAATCAAAAGGGCATAAACCAAATTTAAAAAGAAATATATTTCAAATAAGCATCATTGTTGCGGTGTTCGAGTCACTGCTTCTCTCCTACTAGGGAGACGTTCTAAAGTATCACGTGACCAATAATAACATCAGAAAACGTCAGGATTTCTTTTAACATCCGAGGGCGAGCACAGAAATATATCAGTGGTAGTTTCAGTTGTTAAAAAGTGCTTTAGTAGAATAAGTTAACATGTTAATCCTTCTTACCACATTACAAAACACCTGTTTGGTGAATGAAAGGTACAGCGTTGTATGATGGAGGATCGAAGAGTCGGAATAACCTTTTTTATATTTCAAATTTCATAAATATGTGTACAAAATTATGTATTCATCAATTGCATACTTTAGGCTTAAAACATACTAACTAAGTATGAATAGTCAGTTTTAATAATATTGTTTTTAGGGGCAAATGAGGAAACAAAAACAAAGAAATTAAAGAGTATAATACTGGATATTCTATAAGCATGGGGTTTTTACCCTAATGTCAGATACTAAAATATTGTATTGTTCATAACAGACGTCTGGTGGATAATAACGGAAGTTAGGGTAAGAAACGCTACACACTGTCAGTGTTGATAAAATATTACAGACACACCGAAGTAATGTATCTATACGATGTAACCTGAATACCTTTAATAAAAGCAAAGCAAGACGGCCCAACTATAAATGTGGATATAAATTAGTCTTACAATATAATACATCATTCAAAAACACGATATATGAAAGATATACACTTTTAACAGAAGACACTCGCTCTTAAAAAAACTCATCAAGTAATCTTCCTAACAATAAACTTAGAAAATATGTTACCTGCATACTTTTTACATAAATATAACCGTATATCATTAATAACTCTTGATCAAAAATAAGATAACCGTATATCATTAATAACTCTTGATCAAAAATAAGATAACCGTATATCATTAATAACTCTTGATCAAAAATAAGATAACCGTATATTATTAATAACTCTTGATCAAAAATAAGATAACCGTCCATATAATAATTTTTAAAAAATAATTTAGCGAAGATAGTTCTATAAAACAAAACATCATAAATCAATGCACAAGAACACTAAAACCCTATAATAATTAGATTGCATTTAATCGGCAATTGGATACTGGTGGTAATTTATTTCCTTCGTTTGTTGTTTTGTTTTTGGTTTTGAAGCAAAAAATTCTGTATAAGAATGAACGCTCTGGGCTATTTTTGTTTGCACTGACATTTATAATATCAACATTCAAGGGAATTATGTCAATATTACAAATATGTTAAAACACTCAAACGATCGACTTTGTTTGGTATACAATTAAAATCTTTATCCTACGACCGATAACACTCCTAAAAGGCACTAAATGTTTATATGTCTGTTCACGTCATTCTCAAGAATGGAAAAAACAAATGTTGTGCAATCATTAAAAAAAAAAACATGGTCATGTGACTACTAGTGTACATATTCAAAAAGATCACGCCATCTAGGTAGTTTCTGGTTTTCCAACCCTTCATCCTCATTTTACCGTGTTTCATTATTTCTAGCCCCCCAGTGGTACAGCGGTATGTCTGCGGACTTACAACGCTAGAAACCGGGCTTCGATACCCGTGGTGGGCAGAGCACAGATAGCCCATTGTATAACTTTGTGCATAACTACAAACAAACAAACATTATTTCTATAGTTTAACTAATATTACAAGACGCCATATTATTCGGCTGAGCCAAAATAACAGTTTCTTCCCACTGGCTAACGTGACCAGTATAATTTAATACATCTTCAGCTAGTGCAGAATTTTCACTATTTTGTTTAACATTTCTCTTATGTTCATTTATTTGAAATTTTATATTTCTTCAAGTTTGACCGATATTTACACAACCACATTCACATTCAATTTTATAAATACACGTTTTCTCCATTAGATCGGGCCCGGCATGGCCGGGTAGTTATGGCGCTCGATTCGTGATCTGAGGGTCTCAGGTTCGAATCTCCATCCAACCAATTCGTTGGTAAAAGAGTACCCCAAGAGTTGGCAGTGGGTGGTGATGACTAACTGCCTTCCCTCTTGTCTTACACTGTTTAATTAGGAACGGCTAACGCAGATAGCCCTCGCGTAGGATTGCACGAAATTAGAAAAACAAACAACTCATTAGATTGATTTCATCTTTAGTTTTATTTAATGTTTGACTAATTTTATTCAATAGTCTATAAATGGAATGGTATTTTTGTTTTATTTTTAAATCTGGGACATCTGGTAGAAACAGTGTTTATCATTAGCCGCAGATGAAAGGCTCATAGAATGGCTCTCAGTTTGTTTCGTTTTGTTTAAAAAAAACAAAAAAACTTTTAGCTCATAGCTCTATCATCTCTTGATCGGTTTGAAATGTAATTACAGTTTTGGACTCAGGATGTCAAACCCTTTCTACTGATGTATTTGACCACCTCCAAGGTCTCATAGATTAATTCGTTCTACTCCTGCCTAATGTTGATGTTTATTATTAAGCACAAAGCTACACAACGGGCTATCTGTACTCTGTCCACCACGAGTATCGAAATCCGGTTTACTTCTGCCTAAAAAAATTTCAATTTTAGGGAAGACTCGTAGAGATCCCAATGAGTAATCAAATCGAATCGGGTATACGTGCGCCTCACGATTGGTATTAGTGGCGCACAAACATATACCTAATAAAAAAGGGAAACAAAGGTCTCATAGATTAATTTACTCTAATCCTGCCTCAAAGAATTTCAAGTGCCGCAACTATTGAGGATTCTCTCTTGTTTATCTATTTTATCAAATGTTGGTTTCAGTTTACTTTTTTGATCATTATTTGTGATTTTGTTGAATTTCCTCACGGCTCTATCAACAATATAAGACTTTATCTAATGGTACATATTTAATCAATAACAGTCCTTTTTTAATTAAAACTAGTTTATTTTTTCTCGATACAACTTTGTAATACACAGAATTTCCACAGTCACTTTAAACTTAACAACTTTTATAAAACACGCTATAACTCACAGTGATTCACTTGACTCAGTTATCTCTGTCTTCAATCTATCTGCATATCTATCTATCGCTGGCTTTTTTTTAAATTGTTTGGTTTAAAAACATACTGTTACGTATCTGCTCATTTCTTAATTTCCGGTATGAATTCTTTCCGAGGAACTTCAGCGATACAAGTCCTTACTTGATTAAAACTAGTTTATTCTTTCTCGTTACAAACTTTGTAATACACAGAATTTCCACAGTCACTTTAAACTTAACAACCTTTATAACAAACGCTATAAATCACAGTGATTCACACACTGCCTACTGTTCGCTTGACTCAATTATCTCTATCTCCAATCGTCTGCATATCTGTCTATCGCTGGCTTTATTTGCCGGGCTTATATACT